AAATGTTTGCTCTATCGAACGCGTCGATCGATAAGCACGCGGTATTTCCGGGCGCCGCGAGGCGTAAAATTTACAGCATCTCGATTTATCAATAACGTTCGCGCGGAACGTTTCGTGCTTTTACACGCGCACGGAATTGAAACATTACCGGGCCCGTCCGTGGATAGAAAATCGCATTTACTTATACCGGGCTCCTCTTAAATTACCGACACTGTGAATCTCAATTACTACGTTTCGCATCTTTATTCGCGCGCCGTTCTCCCGACAAGGACACCCATCTATTTATCCAGCCATCTAGTCCTGGTAAAACGTGTTCTACCCGCGAAGGCCTATGGGCTAGTTAAAGTGATTTATCGTGTCGTAAAATATTCTCCTCGTCCGTGGCGTTCCTGCGGAGACAGTGGCCGATTCGATATCAATTCCCGTGCCTGGCAAATGGTCGAAAAAACAACGTTCCATAACTTGGAACTTTTCGACGGCTTTGTTGGAGAGCCATTATTATTCCGAACCAAAGTATACAATTAGGAAAATTTCCTCGAGTCGACCATCAGAGGGTTTTCTTCAGTTTGTCTAGCTTATTGTTGGAATCGAGCATATTTTAACGAATAGAAATTTTTAATTCGTTTCTGAATTTTTCATAAAATAAAATGATTTTATGACTGATATAGGTGTGAGACTTTTGGAGCCAGTCGGATTCGGTGAGTGATTAGGGCGATGGCGTGTTTGCGAGTGGAAAAGCCTGGTTTGGTCAGACAGGATTCAGTAGATATCTGCGCAATTGAACGGACAAATGAAGTTTTTCGTGAACGTAAAATTGAAGGGATTTTTAATACCGATTGAATCGAAACGAGGGTACGGTTTATTCTAACAAGGGGAAAAGAGGAGGATCGTGAAAACGTAGAGGAATAGGCGAGGAACAGAGAAGATTTAAGAGGATTCAGGTGTAGTCCGTGAGAAACCGACCATTCGTGAACTTTCGAGGGATCCGTTTCGACTGCGGATATTGCAGAGACGGTATGCAACGAGTCAAATACTTTGAGCAGCCATGTGTCATCAGCATGCATGTAGGTTGCACAATGTACGGCAATATATGGGGCATTCTGCAACGTATACGTCGAATAACCGAGGACCAAGCGTACAGTAGACGGAAATGAATTTAGTATCGTAACTTGTTACGAACGAGATGTAAGATTTTCGCTCGAAACTAGTTTAAAGCAGCATCGTTTACGTCCAAACTACCGAACTTTGCCAAGAAAAAGTAATGAATTTAAATCATCAAATGCTCTGGTAAAATCGAGCGATACACGGAATTTTACGTCAAACGTACGCGATACATTGTTTGACAAGTAAGAGATATAGCATTGGAACTGTGTCGAAAGTCCGATTGCAACCTCGAAATTGCAGCTGATCTGTTGAGAATTTTTTGAAGCTGAATAAAAGGAATTCTGTCAAAGACTCGCGAGATGAAAGTAGCGATAGAAATGGGACGCGGAGGATTAAACGACGCGAGATTCATAGTTTTAGCGACGAAGTAAACAACGGAGTATTTTCAAATAATCCACGATTTCTATTCGACGTGGTGTTAAAAGAAATATTGATTTTATCACAATTTTTTGAAATTTTTCCTTCATAGTTCCACTCTAGTTTTTATAACAAATAATTGCATGTAAAAATCCGTACGTGGAACCGAAGCTACAAATTTTTGGAGGCCTCTCACGCTGGTTCCTACTATGGCTATAATAATTAATATTGTGAAGTGGTTTCTTCCTTTGAGGGCTAAAAGAGTATCGTTACCAATAATGAAAAATAAAAAATCATCGATTCTCTATCAATCTACCCCACTCTTCCTAATTTCCAAGGAATATTTCGTTCTTTCGAAGTCCCCGGATTCACATCCGGGGGAGCATCCTGTATAGAAACGATCTGCGCGCGAGTCCAGTCGCGAAGCATCGTGGAACCTTATAAAATTAGCCCGCGAGACGGAATTTCGAGTTTGTAAAATGCAACGGGCCATCATCAGCCTGTTAAAGAATGCACGGTAACGTCCAGGGTCAGGGTGTGCCGGAGACACGCAACCGTCGCTCGGGGGAATTGCGTTTGACGGGGGGTGGCAATTTCCACGGGGGGGTAATTATATTTACAAGGGAGTGGCACTCGACCTAGTCGTGAGACTCGTCCCTTTTCCCTGTGCGGCGCACGGCGGAACTCGCGCGATCCCGTCTAGAATCCGGCGGCGCAGGACCAAGCCTGCGTGCGACTCGCGAACGCCGGTCGCCGTCTCCATGGTTACGTATCGTGATGCCCCCGCCCCCCACCTCGTCCCGCGGACGTTCTACGGAGATGCAGGGGTTTCGTCCCTCTATCTATCCGGCCGCAGCGCCGGGGCGGCTCCCGTGCGGCGCAGACGTTTGTGCCGGTTGACCCAGGTCGCGTGATCCTAGCTCGTGCACGACATTTTCTCGATGGTTTTTCACTGGTCGTTCGAGTGTCGCGCCTCGAAAGTTTCACCGATGGGACCGTGATCGGTAGAGGAACGTTCCTGGAACGGTTTCCGGACGATCGTTTGGTGTGAAAAGCAGCAGCGTGTCCGCGTTTGGTCGAAGGTGGCTGCAGGACGGTGACCTTGAACGGGCCAGGTGTTCGAAAAAGGCTGCGTGCCAGTTAGCTGCGATTCGTGGTCATGGGATCATCGATTGGGTAGAGTTTGCCGCGTCGAGAGGGAAATTTCTGTTTTCGGGGTGGTTCCGCGCGGTTCTCGCTCGACGTTCTGCACGCGTTGGATCGCGAACGGGACGGGAAACGTGTTCGACCAACGGGCTGAGGTTACTTTAGTGCCACTGTGCGCGCCTCCGATCGGTTTCAGCGCGATGGTAGCGTCAGGTGCCAAGAACCGGATTCTCGTCGATGTATCGTACCGATCGCGGTTTGACGAACGTTGCCGGGACCTTTATTGGCGAAAAAGATAGAAGGGAAGGCGGTGCCCGAGTCCGCTGGGCGATTCGTAATAAGCACGGCGGCCAGGGCGCCGACGCGAGAGAGACACGTGGTCTGCGCTGTGTTTTCTGAATTTTCGAATCGAGGAACCGGCTTTCCAAACGTTTCGTCTTTAAATATCTGTCTTCCGACGCCTTAACGACGGATCACGTGCAACCGCGTCTTTTCGTAAACGATTGTCAGGATCGAAGGCTAAAACAACTTCCGGCAACGTACCTGTCGTCGATCGCTTTAACGAATGTTTCCATGCGGATGAGAAATTCGTAAAATATTGTATGAAAAATGTGCTCCCGAATGGTGGGCATTTTAAATTTAAAGTTTACGTAGAGTCTGAAAGGTAATATGGGGGAGTGAGTAGATTCCCACTGGACGCGAAAGAGTGTATCTCTTCCGTCAGGGGACGTTTCAAGAGTATCAAATTTTGTGAGAAACGATGACGAATTCGAACAACAGCTCGCTGTCGCGCGCCTGGTTGCGAGCGAATTGCTGTCGCTGCGGCGACGCGCGCCAGGACACCGTGAACAACAACCTTAAGGACGAGACGCCGCTGCGGGAGGAAACTGAGACGCTTTTGCACCGTATAGCGTTCACGGTTTGGCACACTGCCCTCCATATCGAGAGCGAGGTGCGTTCGTCCCCCGCGTGACTCCGTCATATTTTCTATCATGGCGGAACCACACATTTCACATTCGACGTTCCTTAATATTCGCGTGTATCTGCAGTAATGGCCAAAGTCTTCGGCTAGTACGACATTTTACTTCGTTATTTTATTTTCTATCGAACTCTAGTCGTTTAATAAAAGGAAAGTGTCTTGGATCAGTAAGATATTTTACTGTATTACTCATTTATTTTTATTTAAAATAAACTAAGAGAGAGGAAGTATAGCAAGTTGGGTGAAAGGGCAAGGTTCAGCGAATGGGGCCCTTTCATAACCTAATCCATAATTTTACAGTGATACTTGAGGATATTTTTATTCGTTTTAGATTTAAGTATGGCGCAAGTTAGGCCTCTCAAAATTATTTTGAAACCCGGCTTTTAGTCGTACCTCGTTGTATCGTCGTGTCACGAGCATAGGATTGAAAAGAAAATTTATTTTTAAAAAGACGTAGGTTCATATGAAATAATGTTTTTTTGGTACTTTTGCTGTTTTGTTGTGTATCGATGATGCATTTTCGTGATATAAAAAGTGAATGGACTTTCCAGAACCTCTAAATTGTGTCACACAATATAACGATTGTTAATTTGTTTCAAATTTAAAGTCTCTTCCGAAGTACCTATATAAATTAATAAATATGCACAATAACAATCTTTTAAACATTCTATTTAGCGAATAAAGTCGTCAAAAATAGTATAAAATATTGATATTTTGGTCTTGAAAAAGGTTGAAAAATCAGTATCAATTTCGACCAGATGAATTTGAAAATAATCTTGGCATCGAAACGTTTGCATATTTTGGATTTAAATACAATGAGCTCCTTTTTCAGTCATCGTAAAGAGTAAAGAAGTTGCCATTCCGAGCATATTCGACTTTCTCTCACAATTTTAACGCACTAAACGATGAGTGTTATTCTAGTGCAGAAATCTAGCTGGCGTAATTAGCGAATAACGAACACTTGCCTGCGTCTAAACTTGTGGTTTCGCCATCAAATTTGTTACACTCCAGGCACGACGCTCTTTGTAGCTTTCACCAACGAAAACATGAAAATTGCCGCGCACAAGTTCCCGTTCAGAGTCGGAGTACGAAGATCGATTATGTTTATTATTAAATGTTGCGTCTATCGGAACGGTGATAACCGTATTCACGATGCAGCTGTTTCCAGGAAACAATGAGAATAATTTTCGCTCTGTATCCGTTATATCGTGCTTCGGAACCACGAGCAACCTACTTCCTTCGCGACGTCTTTCCTCTGCGTTTACCTAGACAGAAATTTGTGTATGATTAATATCTTTCGTAGACACAATGTGCGACGATTGTGTAATCGTTTGCTATATTTGTTCTGTTGCAGCACAATGGGGGATACGAAGCACAGCCGAAAAATGTTAACACCATCTCCAGGAGCAAGCAGCAACAGCAGGTAAATATTCTCGTGCAGCCATTTTGGTATTCTACAGCGAGAGTCCCATGAATAATCGTGGCTCCTCGTGGAAATATAAGTCGACAATGCAGAATATAATCTTTTTTGTATAGTGCTTTATTTTCGAAATAATTGTGTTTGAAAATTGTAAATAAAATTGTAGCGGGGACGTTTCATCACCTTGCAGGAAAATCATTTTCTCAAACTAAAATTCACTTAAAGATCATGCTATTTAAAAAACTGAAGGTGACAATTTCCAAAATTTTTATTAATTCTCTTCTATATGCTTGTTAACGCAAACATTTTTGGTACGCCCCGATTTCGCAGAAAATTTTTGGAAACGGGTGGACACCGCGTTAATAGAGAGCTCGATGGTCGAGTGTGTGTTTATGGTTCGCCCGTTCCGTACTCATAAAAATCGCGTAGCTGCGGCTTTCCGCGCGCAGGCCGTAAATTATCCCATCGCAATCTCGGTAACGAAATTTTGGGACGCGACTTCGTTCCTAAATTCGTTCTCGTAAATTCGTTACCACGCGTCTACCGACTACGAACGACGGCCATAAATTATTCGCCGCGTACCCCCGAGTAACCGACGCGGCATTCTTCTCGCGCGGGAAACAGCGAAAATACGCGAACGATCGTTATGCAAAGGGGCCTGGTACGTCTCAAGGTTTATCGTTCCCGATAAGAAGTCGCGATTTGTACCATTTGTGAGCCGGCTCTCTAAATATTTAATATTAAAACAACCGTATGGCCGCGCACGTACCGTACGTACGAGGATGGCTCGTGTTGCTCGGTCTCCGGTACCCCCGATTGCATCAGGCGCGCCTTCATTTATTCCGCGGGAAAACACGGCCGAGTCCTATTTACATTCGAAACGGCCCTCGTTGTCCGGAAACGAGTGGCCTCTGCTCTCGTACACGTGTACCTGCCGACGCGAGTCAACGTCTTGCGAACGATCCTATGCAAAACTGCTCCCTCCGGGGTCGCCTTCGAAATTGCCTTTGAGACACACGGCCGAACCGGACACGTCGCGGTCATTTGCATTCAACCCAGCGCGTAACCTTTCGAGCCCTCGGTGAATTTTCGGCGGGAACCGTTTCGAATGGAAGTCGATCCAAAATTAGCGTCGCGCACGAGGAAAAATTCTGTAGCTAAAAGTAAAGAGGGACATCAACGATGACGAATACGAATTTACATTTCGAGGCTTTTGGCGCACAGTGATTCTTAAAATGAACATCGCTACTGCGGGCTGTAATAAACATTCATAATCTTAATAATTTTCAGACTATTCGAGTTTCTAAATGTCTATGGATCTTGAAATGAGATTTCGTTTACCGATGGTAGATTAGAGATTTAGAGAAGTTGCCTAAATTTTTCGGCGAAAAAAAAAGTTTCAAATCATTCTGAAAAAATTATTTTCGTTTGCAGGAGTCAATTGCAATCATTTTTGGTCATTACACATATCCCTGAAATCCTACTCATTTCCGAGAAAAAAATTCAGGAAGGTGGACAAATTTTTGGGCGAAATAAAAAAATTTCAAATCATTCTGAAAAAATTATTTTCGTTTGCAGGAGTCAATTGCAATCATTTTTGGTCATTACACATATCCCTGAAATCCTACGCATTTTCGAGAAAAAAATTCTTTACCGCAAATATAATGTGTGGCCAGAGATCTGTGATTATATTCCTCGTTTTTATCACTTCATATGTAGATATAGTCCAATTATCCGGCATATAAAATTTGCGCGTGATGTGCAGCTGTCGGGGTGGTCGAGTTTTAGCAAAAATATGACGGTTACTGCGACCCTTCTATGGCTACCTGTGTTGGGTCCCAACGCTTTAATTCCTATAAAAATTAAGTGCTCTTGTTTGAGCATTATTATGCAATTAAGCTACAAAGTTCGTGGACAGGTCCTTTATAAAGAGGGTTTAAAATTTTACATTTTGACACTGGCTATTAAAGAACGAGAAAATGTCAGTCGAAAGTTTATTTTCTTAATACACTAGCTACGATCTACGTAAATCTCCAGATACCGCGCAGGTATTTTCCTTCCTTCTGTTTATAACGTACAACCTCGTTAATGCTTCAAAATTTATGTTGCATACGAGGCCCATGTTCGTAAGAAGCTCATGACTTGCCTATATACATCCGTTCTGATTAATAGTCGTATACGCTTAGCTTTCTTTTTCTCTCTTGAACGTATATTATTTTTCGCGAGTATGATAAATAAGAATTATTGTCGTCGTTATTGTTAAGAACGGTTATTTTTGATAAATAAACAAACGCAAAACGTAGAAGGATTAAGAGTAACGCCCAGGGGTAAAATTAAAATGGACGTTAGGACGCTCTCGAGAGGGAGCTCACGCTTTATTACGCGGCCCTTTTTAAAGTTATATCCGCCGGATAGCCCACTAGCCAAGGCGTTCTCTACGCATTAACGTCGACACCGTAGAAAATTATTCGCTAAAATGGCAGTAAGCTAGCGCACCGTATGAACGGCGCGGGTATCAACTGATGTTCCGCCGAGATAATCCAAGTATATTGACGCGAACCGTGTAATATATTCACGAAACCCTTATCCGTGCTTAGGTCGCCGGCCATTCTTGCGGAAATATATACTGGGGAGGAACGTCGAATGCAAAACGCACCGCGACGTGAAAAAACAGTGACAGTTTCTCGCGTGCAGTTATTATTGGCAATGAAAAAGCCCTCTTTAAGCAAAAAAACAGAACCGTTTCTTTTACTATAGAAAGTATATACTATTCGATGATTTTATTCCGTGTAATCTAACCTGGGGAAAAATGCTTTTCCACCGATGTTTGTGTAAACTAGCATGTATTGCGCAAATACGAGAAATTGGATATCGCGTCTGATTGCTCATAGTACAATCTCCTTCGTACAAAGCCAAGAAGGCGAGTCTACGCGAACGAGATTATACCATAGATAATCAGACGCGGCACTCAACTTTCCCATCTCCGCGAAGTGCGTGTATTTACAAGCAATAAACTATGAAATTTTTACCACCGGTGATAAATAATTTATGGACCACGAGAAACACACAAATTTTGTTTAGAAGACTCTTGACCTTTTCTTTATGCTCTATAAAAGTCAAGTTTCATAAATTTGTTGAAAATAATACTTTTGTTTATAACGATTTCACGATTCGTTCTACAATACAAATGCATAGATTCTTACATAAATTTCCAGTAATTCGACGCTTCACAGTTTTTGAAAGCTCGAAGACTATATACTTATACACGTATAATAATTTTTAGTACGCGAAATTAGATTAACCGTTTGAAGCTCCTATTCCTTTGCCAGACTATTTTAATCGTTATCGTTAAATTTTGTAAAAATCGTACGCCATCGTAACGAAGTGATTTAGGAACCGGAAGGGCGGGAAAAGTGCTTATTTAAGGATCCTCCGTATCGAAAATGTCCCGCTATCGATTGGACCCTAGCCATATGCTGGCATTCGGAGCGTACGTCGAGCGGAAAGAAGTCGATAACGATAAAACCCACTCTCGCCCGGCTCTATACTTCCAATTAGAAATTAGCCGGCGGCAATTACGCGGATTAACGATAATTGACATTACCAGCGCGACGTTCCCGGCGCCCCTCGATTAATTGCGTCCTGTTAATGGTGTAGCCAGTAGATATCGTTTGTGGATTATGCGCGACCCTCAAAGTGCCGTGTTAAAGGAAAATAATAATATAAATACGAAAATAACCGCGTGACTACCTTTTTTTGCGTCCATACTCGATAGTCTGATACGTTAAAAAATTCAAGCAATGCTACAGTTACGCACCTAACATTCCTAATTTCATCTTGCATCATTGAATTCGACGTTGACGAACAAAATTAATTGTAATACGAGATACCTTTTTAAAATTACTCTTCTCCCGCGTTTGCCACGCGATTTACCTACCGCGCGACGACCGGCTATTTCGAACTTTGACAGTTCCCGCGCTCATCAGCAGAGGGCTACGCTCGACCACTCTTTCCCACAAGTATTCAGAACGAAACGCTCTTCCCTCCTCCCATTATCTCGTCTCTTTCTACAGCAGCAAGAAGTTACCTTGGCAGGCTTCGTGCCACCCATTAATCATTCGAAGTTTCAGTTTCGCGAGTGCAACAGTGATCCAATTCCCCGTGAACGGCGGTCCCACCCCCTCCCTCTCGACGCGATATTCGTTCACCCCTCATGAATCTTGAAACGATTTCCACCCACGCGGTCGTGTCGCCGGTGCAAATTGAAAATTTAACGATTCCGCGGTCGGTAGTGGCGGCAAAAAAGATCTCGAACGGCCGCGACAGAGACAGACTGACGCTAGGAAGAGGCTAACGCTCTCTAAAAATACGTTTATGGGATCATAACGCGGCTTGCGCTTCTCGCGGCTGCAGCCAGTCCTCGCTCGCTCATACGTCGCGGTCTGCTACGGCCATAAATCCCCCTCCCACCGGTTAGTCTCACGTGTGAAATTGCTATTACGTTCCCGTGGTCCTACCGCAGCTGTCCAGCGCGCGCTGTTCCATCTGTAGTCTTCGTATTTCTCACGCTTGCTTAGGATATATCTGAAGAACGACCGGGGGGGGGGTTTGTTCCCCCCGTCGCGTAGCACCGCGACTTTCTTCGGTAATAGGAATTCACCGGGCGCCGGAGATATTCGCGGTGATTTGTTAGCCGTCACGCGCGAATAAGTCGTAATATCGTCTGACGAGCCGAGATTTTTCGCGGGGGATGAACGTCGCCCGCGGTGTGCAGCTGGGGCCTCTGATGGCGTTGCGGGATCGCGTAATCGTGATCTCGTTCTGTTAAATTACTACTTGGCGCGGAGAAATGGTAATGGAGGCTACGGAACACGAGGTCCCGGAGAATACTAGGTCGTTGAAAAGTGTCTTTGGTCTACGAGAAATAGTTCGAGGGAAATTCCTAGTCTTCGTAACTCGCGGCAGAAATGCTTCTGTAATCCGAAATGCGCCGTATACTCTTGCACTTGCCGTAAACGAACGTTCCTCCGTGTTGATTTTAATTAATAACCGCGTCTGTGTATATTTCACCGATCGTTCGATGACGCACTGATATAGTTCCCATAAATTAGATTAGAGACTTATAGATTGTTAATCACGTTATCGCGATTGTTAACACGTTCCCTGCTAACTACGTATATTTACGTAGTTGGCGTTCACCTGGAAGTGCCAGTAAGTAGGTACAGGTGTATATATCCGTTTTCATTCAAATTATTAAGAACGTAGAGTACTTTTTAGCTGAGACAATAGAGCTATATAATTTTACATATCATATACAGTTAATTTCAAATTGGAAATTGATTGTAACAGAATAAATGTATTTTCATCAAGGAAACGTATTAATTTGTTGCTGTACTAAATTATCGAATGATCCCCCTCGAAGAAATTTTGAAGCGTATGTAGAGGTTCGTACTGTTCCTAAAATGAAAGCTGAGATTACAGTTTACTGAAAAATAACAAACTTCTCCAAACCGCGAGGTATGACGGTGGCAGTATCACATGAACGAGATCGCATCAGAAATAGACGTTCGTTTTCAATAAAGTTGGCCTTCCACAACAATATTTTGATTAACATTGGCAACAGTGCCAATTTTGAGAGTCACTGTCTAACAAGGAATGCGGAAGAATTCGATACAACGGTCGTTAAGATCTGAAAGTTGTTCGTCATTCCCGTTCGTTACTCGTTAACCGGACAGAAATTCCGTCCGACACTGACCGATCCCAACAGGAAGATGCGGCGCAATTTACCGACAGGGGGGAACTTATTCATATTTCTTGGTCGTCGCGGACTTTTACGCGTCGCCCTTGATGTCGAATTACTCACGCACGCTGCTTATCGCGTTCTCCATAGCGAATAACGCCGCGAATAACTCGCGACGTCCGCGCGTTAATGCGTCTCGCGTCTAATGACGAGCGTGACTCCGGTCGAAGTCACGCTACCTGGACGAATTCGTTACATCACACTCTGATGCAGAAATCGTGCATACACGCGTCGACGCGGAGCGTTAGGGTGAGGAGGAGGGGGGGATGGGGGACGTGCACGTCAGGTGTACAAAGAAGGAACGCGGTACAACCGTCGTACAAGACTGGCGACCACTGGATATTCACCAGCGAGTCTCGTAGAACCAAGCGAAACACAATACCCGGCAGTCTGTCATTCCGTCGTGGCGAGTACTCCTCGCGTTTATACCTCGCCGACTTCTCTGCCAGGATAAACGCGGCGTTCGCGTTAAACCGCCAGGATTTCATGACGACTCGTGCTGATACCGCGGCTCCCACAAGGGCACCGACATGCCGGACACTCTCGTTGTCAGGATCGTCTACGCACCCAAGTTCTCCAAGGTTTATTCTCCACCGAGACGCGTGGTTATCCTTAACTTGACCTCCGCGTCCTCGGAGTTGACCAAAAGTTGTTGCAAACAAGTTCAAACGGAGAAGCTCTTTCCTCGGTAGAGATGAGCGGAGATAGGAAAGTTTGCGGTGCACGGAACTGGCGTTGAGTTTGGATAAGTTTGAGGATGTGTGACGACGTTCCTTCCTACGTAGATTAAGTTTGGCGCTGAGTGCAAGTATTTTTTAATTCTTCTGTACGAGCAGGAGAATCGAGGAATTATTATACTCGACGCAGCCTTTGTGGCTTAGAAGTTGACCAAAAGTTGTTATAAATAAGTTCAAACGTGGAAGCGAGGATAGGAAAGTTTGCAGAGTACGGAACTACGGCGCTGGGTTTGGATAAGTTTCAGGATGTTTGACGACGTTCCTTCCTACGTAGATTAAGTTTGGTGCTGTTTGAGTGCAAGTGTTTTAAAATTCTATGCAACGAGGAAACGACTTTGTATTTGTATTCGTACATAAATATTGTAGAACGTCTGAAGCAAGTCTCACGAGAGGGAGAGGTTCTCCGTAGTGTAGTCGACCTAAAATAGTTAATAAAAATTTCAAGAATCGTATGGATGTTTGGACAATCGTTTCGAGATCGGAGGGGCAGCTTAAGATAAGAGTCGAATCTCTGTTGGGAATGTTGGTTGCATTAATCATGGATATTGTTGTTGCAGATGCAGACGTCCTCGTCGGCGACGACACCCGCGAGGACGCCGGGCGTCGGCGCGGACGCGACGACGACAGGATCGGGAAAGGGCGGAGGTCGAGTCACGGAAGTAATGGAGTTTTGTTACGTCACCGAAAGGATCATTGCTCTTTGGTACAGAGAGGATGCCCAGGGAGTCCTTGAACACGCCACTACGCTCCTGCGAGGGAAGCACGCGGATAATTATATGGTGAGCATCGAGAGAACGCCGATGAATTATTGGTCGCTTACTTTGCGTAACGTTTTTATTAAATAACTATCGCCACCGAGCAAGACGACGGTGTACGGTAATCGGTACCGAGTTAACCTTTATGTAACTTGATTAGCGTAATACACCACGTTTGCATTCGAATCGCTTGATATTCTATATTTGGCCCGAGAATCACTTTGTAAGGTGATTCTTACGAAGAATTTCCGCATTGTACTACCGACTTTTATGAAACTTCGTAATGACTAAAAATAAAGAGCGCGTGTACCTTTTAGCGACGTTAACCGAAGTTTAAAAGGCACAGCTACTCGTTAGAGTTTCTTTAATTTAATAAACAGATTAAATTGTAACGTCAATCTATTTCGTTCTATTCAAATTGAGGGACAGATTGCTTAATTTGGACCATCGGTGTCCCGATTTGGATCATTGAGTATTTTGTGAATTTCGTTGTGGTTTGATGGAATAATCGTTCGACAAAATTCCAAGAAAATCGATAGGATCTCGTAGAATAGTGTTTGTGTAATCGAGAGGGGCTAAATTAATCATAGCGTTCGTGCATTTGGCTTGCAGATTTTCAATCTGTCGTCACCCGGTCGCCCAGGAGAGCCAAATACCAGAGAAGCAGGCTGGCCCCAGGGATTGGCGCCCAGTTTGGAGAGACTCTGCGCCCTATGCAAGGAGCTGGACTCCTGGCTGAACGGTGCTCCAAATCGCGTGGTCGTTCTTCATGCCAGGTCAGTCTCTTTTCCCAACTTACGAGAACAACGAGTACGTCTCATGTTTCAATCAACTTTTGCATATCGATAGCCAATGGTATATTGTTTTTTTATAAAAGGATACTTTTCAATATATTGAAGGTTACATTTAGACACGCCTATATCTTCAGAAGTACAACTGTAACAAACAGCTGAGAGTATAGTATGATTGAGGAATTGTTCGACCTCGAGATATAATTTTGTTTGTTGTATATTAATCACCTTCATTCAGATTACGAAATGAATTTTCCTATTAAATTTCCACACGGTAAACTCCTTTCGTATATTGCAAAATAAAGGATGTATTTTAATTCATACTTAATATTATAACTTATATTTTCTATATTTACGTAGTGATTGAACCATATTAATTAAACTGTATAAATATTTATATTATAATAATTAAATCGTAAGAAACGAAAGAAGATTATATCTGGAAAATAGCCCTTTCTCTTTTAAATTACTCACTGTAGAGCTATAGAAGATCGTAAATTCGAGAATTGGATATTACACTTAATGGTCTGAAAATTGGGTTCTTCATGCTGCAATTATATTTCGATTGCATCTTTATGATCGTCAGGGTTTATATCTTAATTTGAATCTAGTTGAATAATTAGGTATCTGCGTTACCCAACAGTCTCGCTAGAGGAACTTGTGTATACTTAAGCGTAATAGGAACTATAAAAACTTAATAATAGTCATTGCATTGAACTATAATAATAACATAAAACCACTGTAACGAAGAAAACTATGCAATACTATAGTAGTGTTTACAATATCTGCGCTGTTACCAGCTAATAAATTTACTTCAGTTTTTGTACTTCGAAAGATAATTGCGCGTCTAAAAAACCTGACATTTGTCTGAAACGAAAAGTTCCTGCGTAGCATGCATCTGTACATTCTAAGTACCTAAGAAATAATTGTCGTTCGAGTCATGTGCTATTGGAAAAATTGTAATAAACACGCATGAATCATTAGAGTTTCGTAACGAACGCAATTCACCTAATAAATGTGTTTTATTTGCATCTTTCTCGGACGACGATTAGTTTGCTAGGTAATCTTTCGAGAATACTGCAGGTAAATCTGCAAAACGTGGGGGACGAGCAAAACCAGAAAAGCATAAAATTGCAGCTACACGAAAGTAACAGCTGCAAACCCGTTTACCGACCTTAGCCAGTGTGCAGAGATGATAAATTGACTAGCGGGTCTGATTGGTTATAGTATAATCTCCTTATAGAGACCCATCTCCCTGGGTCTATAGAGAAGAGATTATGCTATAACAAATCAATTCTACCAGCCAACTTGTCGTCTTTGCACAGTCAGGGGCCTTAATTGTTATAACCAAACTAACGAGAAGCTTTAGGATCATGATTCTTTCCTCGACTAAAATGTTTCTAAAATTCTTTAATTCAACGTCTGCGTAACTTTCCTCCCAAGAATTTGACGGAAGGTTTAACTAGCAATTTTATATTCCGTAACAATTTATCAACGATACTCGAGAGAGCAACAAAGTTACAAAAATATTTGATCAAATAAGAATTTTTTTCTGAATTCTCAGAATGTACAGACGCATGCCAAAATTCTTTTTTTTTATGAGTGTTTAAAATTCTCAACAATGTGCTTTTAATTTTCAATATTTCGTGAACTATTAGCCCCCAAATATATCGTTGGCTTCGGTGTTTCAAGCATTATCTCGAAGTTGGTTGAAAAGATGAGAGTTGCGTACGGTGTTTTTCATGTTAGCCCGGAAATGGTTTAAGAGGATTTACGTCTCTCCTTAGGGGAAACAAGCAACGATTGGGTGTGGCAGTTTCCGCGTACATGAACTACAGCAGCATCTGTGGTGGACGCGATCAGGCGCTGGACAGGTTTGCGATGAGGAGATTCCTCGATGACAAAATTGGATCTCTGCAGGTTCCGTCACATCGAAGGTAATGACTTTCGAGCATGACGTTACTAGCTGTTAACGTTCGACGATAAAATTCACTTTATCGCCGATCGGCCACGAGTTACACAGATAACACCGCGAGGTTATCCATAGGCGTGGCTCTGTCGAGAGGAGCAATAGTTAATAACGTCATTTCCTAGCTTTTATTTCAAAGCTACGGATCCCGTCATCGTTAGTTCGCCAGCAAATCGTCACGCGTCGATGAACATTCTCTCCTTTCCGCGTTACGTAAATCGTTATGTCATAATTAACACGCACGTCGAAGAATGCAAAAGACAGAAGGTGTTATTTATTATTAGAAACGTTGTTTCTGGTTAAACGCATCTTTCTTGAACGTTTCATCGGTTGGCCAAATTGTTCGAAAACGAAGGATTTTCGTATGACGGAAATTGCGTGCGATCTACAGACTTCGATCTTGAGATTGCATAATGATTCTCACGAACAGAATGGTTCGCACCAACGAGGCAGTTAGTGCAATTTCAACCTTGACCATTCTTCGCTCCGAGCGTTAAATTTATAGCCACGTATTACCATTGTGCTCGTTACCAGGATCATGCAAGGACTGCGTTACTGTAATGATTCGTAAAATGAACATCGCTCGGTGGCGAAATTCGACACTGGTTCCAAAGAAGATCCCCCCAGTTGGAAGGGATAGAAACGTTCAACTTACGAATCACGTATGAGGTTCATTTTAAGAATCATTACTGAATAACTCTTTGGTGCACAACATATTTGATCAGGAACCTAACGAAAACCTTCTTATAGGGATAGCTAATAGTTCTGCAAGCTCAACCACGTATCGTTTAGCCGAAGAATTAATTATAACCAAGAAACTCTGATATAGAGACACGAATAACTGTTACCTTTCTTCTAATTTATTCTCATCCTTTGACAGGATTGAGGGAATCAGCGTTGTTATTCATATTTACTGCTAATAATTGTCAAGAACTCCAAGCAGTATTTTTTATGGTCTTCGGATTCCTGATATTCAGTGCTCAATATTTATTCCCCGAGCTTGCAGTAAAGGGGATCGAAGGATCCCCTGATACAGTCGAGTTCGTTTCCAGCGTTCACCCGATGTGGTCGACAAAACGGGAGCCAAGAACTTTCAGTATCGTACCGTAAATAAAGCGGTCATGTAACAGTCTCGTAAATCCCATGATAGACGTCCATTCCAAGGGTATTACGCGTCCTTGAGCACGCATACTTGGCCACCAACTCGGTTGCGTGTTCAATGCGACAACCTCGTCTTCCTTTACGCATTGCCTTCCTGAATAAACAGTGGTCCCGTAATAGGCAATGCAACCGTGAAAGATACGCTGTTACGTTTACGAATAAATCGAAAATAAAATTTCTACCATTCCACCTTTGGCTTTCGATAAAGTAATGCAACTTTTGCGATCGACCAGAATCGAAATTAGATATCAACCCTTGACTGACATCGTGTATCCGCAAAACCGTAAATTGCATGTTATGTTTTAGTAATTTCAAATATACTATTGAAAAATAAAAAGGAGCGACTTCCTTCGTATGTCTTTATTGTATTCTAATTGGTAACAGGTTATAATAATATTAATTATCGACGGGGATATCATACCTATCAAACATGCTCACACGATTAACGATGATTACAAACGAACTCGCACCAATTACAACGCACGCGTTTATAGAAAATAATGGCGCTCAGACGTGTGCACTATTTTCCATTTTATTGATTAAAATTATTTATTCGGGGCATACAACAAAATTCAAAGGTATTAAATCCAATATGTGACAAATTGAAACGTGTCGGTACCGTTTGGTTTTCGAAACAAAGTATATTTCGATGTCATTCGTTCCTATAGTCTCTGTAACTGTAAAAGTAACTGAAAATCTTTGTTCATATTTTAAGTTTGCTCGTTTAATCCAGGAACACCATGTAGCATATTAGCGAGAAGTCTAGTCAACGTTTTCACGGACACGCGGTAGTTTTCAGCGCCTTTGCGCGCAACAAAAATGGTAAAAAGAAGGTCGATAAAATGTTTGATGCGACGAGCCGCAGCGTAGCGAACTAGACCGCCTAAAAATCGCGTGGAAATAGTCCCATAAACATAATCCCCCGTAGGCAGACTCGTCAACCTTGGCTATCCATTCCAGGCGATCGCGTGGTACGCGTTACATGGCTGTCGATCCGTAGCCTCGTTCATGCTTAAGTTTTCGTCGTTTGACGCGCCCATCGGAGATCGTAACGATCCACCATCGAGCGACGTCCTTACACGCGGAGGATTCCTCTCCCGGGCATCGTCGTTCCTCCCAATGGCTCTCCCGTCTTCCTCGTCCCGGCCGGTTGCATCCGAACCGATCGAGTTTCCCCATTAATTCCACGAGCAACTGACATTAGCATGTCGTTAGCGTGGCTTCGGTCCCGCGAACGTATGAATCCATTATCGGTCGAAGCACGGGGCAGCCGCGTCGAAACGCCGCGCGCATAACGTGCGCACACTTTAGGTGCCATCGGGAACAGGTTTTTTCATTAGGCGGGATCGGGCTACGCCGGCGATCGTATCGTACTTCGTTACGAGCGACACGCGAGGATTCGTGAGGGAGCCCGCGAAATTACGGCCGTGAACGCTCACGACGCTGCATAATCGGCAGGTACTTCGGCAACTCGGCCGTCGCTGTCCAACTCTTCCGTGTTTGCCGTGTGTATTACAAGCTCGGAATTAATCGACGCCGCGGGGAACATCGCTCGCGAACGTACAGGACGAGTTTTCGTCTGACATATGACGGAAGAATCTACTTGGACGGTGTTTATCGACCGTTCCTCGCGACGATCCCGTCCGAGCGGATTCTCTACAGCCAGACGACATCGCGACGATTATTTAGCACACGAACATGCTACATTTGTAACAGAATTCTGGTGTGAATGAGCGCTTTAACGGCATACGACAGTTTTTTCTTTTATTGAAACTGTGGCTTGGCAGAGAACTCGTCAGGCTTCCTAGCAGGTCTTACCTCGGAGAAACGTATACAGGGTGTTCGATCACCTCTGGGAACAATTTTAATGATAGATTCGAGAGGCCAAAATGATATTACCGCATTTTTGAGGCAACTGTGTGACACCCCTCTAGTGCTAACCTAAACGGGACACTTAAAACTAGGCGTCAAGATATTGACTGGCATACTTAACATGCATTCCAACATAGAATAAATTTAAACAATATAAACATGAATTTTGTTATCTAGAATTATCTTCTTAACTCTCTATAAGCATAAATTATGGCCGTAGGTGGTCTCAACGTTAGAGTTAAATGTGTTCGTAAGAGCCCAACAAATCCGTCCCGATAAAAGAAGAATGAGTTTCTCTTTCTTTCCTAGATTTTGCTTCCTTATTCGCTGAAATCGATGCGCCTGCCAACATTCTCTTGAATCGCGGCGGAATTTCAAGCACTTTGGTGCGTGAGAAGCAGTGAATTCCATTCGTGCTCGGGCACGAATTAATCCCGAAAGGTTGCCGTTCGAGATGTTCGTTAAACGTTTCGCAGCGATTTTCTAATATTTTCACACGCCGCGAGCGCAGCGCCGAATAAGGCCGGGCGCGTGAGAAGTAGAAAAGGCCGTTCGTGACCAGACACGAATTAACGCTTGGAACGTCACGGCCTGACTCGCGCTTTTTGTACCCCGGGGTATAAATTGCGTGATGTAAGCGCAATGACGAACGCATTGCCGATGAAAGTCGATGCTGGTGCAAAAAATAACTCGCCTCACCTTGACTCGACCAATGTAAATAACGCGTTTCCTGCGAACTATTGTTTCAGCGATAATAGCTGTGTTTCGTTGCGTGCCATCGTCGCGAAATTTCAAATTTCATAGAATTTTTTGGTGAAATTCTTCTCCCTCGCGACCGTTAATATAGAGATTATATTACTTCTATAACGATATTCTTTTATCCCACAGGTACATCAAGTATTTCAGCGGACTGCTCTCGGCCTGTTTGAGAATAAGCCAGTCGCCCCTCTATTTAACGCACCTGACGGTCCTCGGTGTTCCGCTCTTCGAGCCCACGGGTTGTCGAGCGTTCCTCAAAGTCTACGAAGGGCTAACACCCGTCTACACTTCAGACCTTTACTCCGTGACGAATGCTCGAGAATTCACGGTTAATCTCGGCGGTCTTCGTCTGAGGGGGGACATACTGGTGAAATGTTACCACAGGGTGTACTCGAAGCAGAGCCGGGAAGTGATGTTCTCCCTTCAGGTAAGACCAAGACGAATCCCTTTAGCAATTAAACCGAACCCTGCGCTGCTTGATCTTCGGTTAAACGCAACGTAACGTGGGCGGTAGCTGTTCGTCGAGCATCAACCTTAAGAAGCTGGAATCCGTCGACGATCTAAATATCTCGATTTGCAAAGAATACTGGGCCCCACGACTTTCTAGCCACTAACTGTACCGTGACTATGTTTCAAATCTAATAACAACCGTTGCTCGTTCACGTACGTTACCAGCCTCGTTGGTCGATTTGAAACCGCTCAGAGATCGGTTGCCCTGGAATTCAAGAAGCATGTAATTACCGAGATGCTATCGGTTTTCCTAGTCTCGTTACACGAGAAATCAAGAATATCGCTAGAGGGGGCATCGCGATTACGTAAAACAAGATCGTTAGACGGCATATCTCGATAGATCAGCACTCGTTGTTCCTGCAGTTCCACACCTGCGTAATTACGGAGAACGTGGTGTCCTTCCCGCGTTCGGAGCTGGACGTTGCTTGCGACGATCCCCGATGCCCGCCCGACAGCGTGGTGACTCTCTACTTCGCCACCGACGCCAAGCGTCAGGACGGCCCGGTGCCGGCACCGACGCCCGCCGTGCCCCACGCATCGGCCCACCACGACCCCATACTGCACTGGGACAGCTACACGAATCTCGAAATCAGCGATGACGGTGAGCGATCAGATCATCTTACTCTCTATTACGATCACTTCTCTCTTTCTCCTACTCTCTATTATTGAACATTTATGCTTACTGCTCCTTATTTACTTATCTCTACTTATCACAGCCTCTATTGTCATGTTACTCTCTATCCTCTCTATTGCTTATACTATACTCTAGTTACTTCTGTCTTTTTCTTAGTCTCTTTAATAAATAGAATCGAAATTTATACTTACTGTTCTCTCTTTTACTAATCTGTACTTACTATGTTGGCATTACTATATTATACTTACTATATTGCCTCTATTGTCATGTCACCCTCTACCCTTTAGTGCTTATACTATACTCCCTATACTCTAGTCGCTTCTGTCTTCTTCTTAGTCTCCATAATAAATAGAATCGAAATTTATGCTTGCTCTCTATTTACTAATCTCTACTTGTTATAGCCTCCACTGTCTGATCATTAATCTCTACTCTACTGACTCTTTCATGTACACTTTACTTTCTACTCTGTCTTTCATAGCAGATTCGTTCAAAGGTCCAGATAAAATTAATAACACGGTCCAGCGTACCAAGTACAGTAATGATTCTTAAAATGAACGTGATTCGTAAATTGAACATTTCTGTCCCTCCCAACGGGGCAGTGTCGAATTTCCCTTTCGTTGTACGTGAAATGAACATGCCAATCCCCGAAGCAATGTTCATTTTAAGAATCACGTACTTGTGACACGTGTCTCGTTCAGCACAAACCTCTTCGTTCTTATAATTCGCTCTGATTACAACAAACAGCCGGCGTATCTCGCTTCTGTACCTAGACATTTGCACCTAACGCTCCGGAGAAGTTCATTCACAGCATCTTCCTAGCGTTAGAAGAATTTCAAGGAGCCCCCTCTCTTAATAATCGCTTCTGGGACACCGCATGGAACAAGGCTCTTGATTAAGTTAGATTAGAGTAGATTACAACGCGACCGTCCAATTTGGTGCAATTGCTACAATGCTGCATTAGATCGGGTTACTTGGAGGTCAGTGGCGAGGCTCGTAGAGTCACTGACAATGATGAATTAGAAAAAAACGATTATACGCCCGATTTCCACGCTGTTTCGCGTCCGACGATGATAGCGGACCTCGAAATCCAGCCGGGAAACGACGTATCGCGAAGATTAATGAAAGTGTTCAAGGAACGACGGTCCATCGTGTCCACGGAGCTTTTTGCAAATGTTTTTTTTTTCGCGAACCCTCGGAAGTTTTCGAGGTAACGGTACGCCGCGTCGAACGATTAATTAACTGATAGCCCGAAACCGGCGAACAGTAACTCAAGTGACGGAACTCATCGTCCGGGGACTAATTCGCGCTAATTTTCGTCCTAATGGTAGCCAATTAACCTCGATCTGTCGGTGAGAACCAGTCAGAAATACAACTTGGCTACGCCCGGAGGGAAAGAGAGGTCGTCGAGGGGGTTCAGGTAGGGAGGGAACGGGACAGAGACGAAAACCTAGTAGTTAATGCGATGTATTTAAACCCGGCTGACTAACGCCGCCGGAAATACGTCCTGCCAAGCGGAGGTGAAACGGCTTTTCATCGTGACGACACACCATCGTCCGGAAATAGATCAAAGGTCGAGCCAATGGGGTGGGCAAGGTCCAAGTTGCAAGAAGCTTCTCCGCGTTCGATTTTCTCAGCCATTAAGTTTCGGCATATATTCCCTCGCGATATGGAGAAAAATGATACCCTCGTATACGCGTACGAAACAAAAATTCTGCACTTGGATCGTTTCTAAACAGTTTCGTTTGTTTTATAAACGATTGTGAGAATATGTATCAACCTGACAATTCAAACGCGTTACAGATGCCGTACGACCCCAGTCGCTACCAATCCGTCCGCCATTTCGATACGTTCCGTCGCAGTCGAGATCCAGAAATGAAAAACTGTCGTCGACACGGTTTGACGCGACTTGTCGATAGCAGAAAGGAAATTCGTGTCACGGTGCGAGCAGAAAAGGCAGTCGATAGAACCGAGGGATCCCCGCCAGGACAATGACTGTTTCCGGGCGTCTTTCTTTTTTTTTCCTCCCCTCCCCTTCTCGCAAAAGCCCAGAGGGTTATCTGTAGATTCGGGATTGATTTCGACTCGGTCACACCCACGATTCGTTCGAAAGGGTCATCGCAGCAGTTGCGGTCAATCCGCTCGTTCTGCAATCGGCCCAACCCATCGGTCCTTTTATTTATCTGCCTCGATGGTGTTTTATCCGCGTCGCTGGTACACACGTGCCTCCTCTACATATTTCGTCGCTCTCCCGTCACTTTCAGTCTCGTAAACGAGCCAGGCCGGTGTAACCATCGACGGCAATTTGGGTCACAGCTTTATTGGAAGCATGGGCCGATCGTTAACGGAACGAATTGAATCGGAGTCGGCTACCCGTTCCATCTCGTCCCGTTTCTTTCCCCTACGCTTTTGACGAATGCGTCGCGGTGACGTAATCGTTTCTGAATATCCGAAACGGTTCGATGAACCGGCGTGGAGGTGGAGGTTCAGCGTGGGCGACCTGTTCGTTTCGTTTAGCGTAGGTCGGAATTCGGGCTGGAGAATATCTAGGCACGACCAAGGACGCGATCGTGTTACGATTAATGTCGCAAGCTCAATACTATCTCGTTCGCGAAGCTTTTCGAATAATTATATCTTTCTGGTGTTCGTGGTTGCATTTTGTTAGGGGTTCTAGCCTTGCTTTGCGTGGATATCATACCTACGATGTTTGCATCCCTTGAAACTCGAGGGATAGTTGGTATATTGAAACGATAGCTACAGTATTTGACACTATTTGCATTATCGACTCTACAAAATGCACATGGCCAAGCTCAAGTTGTGTGCAAAAAACTTTTTCACGCCTTGTGCAACACACACGTTGAATGCTCATATTGGCGATTTCAGTAATCAAAGGATTAAGAGCGCGTGATTCAATTTTGACAAATCCAAATCCAACCTAAAATAAAGATCGAAAAGTCTGTATAAACACAATTTACAAAAACATAAAGCGAATAGAAAGTATATAAGAGCTGTTATTAGAACGTAATATCCTGATGTTTTTCGCCATAGTATTTAACGGGAAGAGTAACGAACTCGACTAAGTCGAATCTTAAGGAGTAAAATGTTGTACGCTATGCGAACCCACACGGTTCACCCACGCGATAGAAAATAAGATTCCAAGAGCGCCGTTACCGCTTTACGAACGATCGACTTTAACGACTCGATGAGCTACGTGATCTACGAACCGACGCGAAAACTTTTCAGGCCTCGGTGTCGAGAGAAAAAGGTCGAGCGTATAATGAATCCTCGTTGTTTCCTGATCGTTTTACGGATCGTTGCTAGTCGACGACGTTTTTCGCAATTTCCAAACGTGTTACGTTGCAACATATCTTTCCCTCCAAACAAATGCCTTCGACCACGATAACTTCGTCAACCATCGACGATCTAAAGGCTCTGGTTACAGTCACTTAAAATAACATGCAACAATTAGTGTTACGAATTAAATAAAAATGGGACGATCACTGTCGAAAATATCAAACTGATTAAAAATTAAACACAGTATACTTCGAAAAGAAAAAATAGAAATTGAACTAGGTTTTTAAATCGAAATCGTTTGTATTTTAAAAGCAAATAATATTTACACCGGGGCATATCGGACCGTTCGAATGGACGCGTTACAATAGTTTTCCATTTTCGATTCGACGACGGCGTCCGGAAATTCATGGACGCTCCATTTCTTCGAATGGCCAGGTGCTGAGCGCGCTCAGAGATTTGTTCTACCGTTTTTCCACTTGGCAAACTTTTATCGTATCCGCCCTATCAATTTCTCGTACTCCGTTTCGCGACGGATGAACGGGGAGCGTAGTGGAATCGTATGGCAACGTGGAAATCTAAAATTAAGAGCACGCCCCTTGAATCAAGGAGCTCGGGTAGAAAATGGCGCGGCGTGTGCTCTTTGGAAGAGCGTTTTTCGCACCGCGGCCGATTATCACGCTTGTTCCCTTTAAATTTCTCTTTATTCGTTAGCGTTTCCCCATCTTTGAGCAATCTTCTACTCGTTGTTTCTTCGCGTCCATTTTCCATGGGACAATTAGAATTATTAACACTAGAAAGAAAGAAGATTCCATCTACCTAAAATGTTTTCGTCACACAATAATTCAATTTTTCCTGGACTCCTACAAAAAAATTCGTCTAACGCGTCCGTCTATTATTCGTTATTTCCACTTGCATTAGTGTTTGTAATCATCAATGTTGATACACTGTCACTCGTTTACTGCTGATGTTACTATCTTTCAACTAGTTGGAACCAGTTAAAATACATCTATAATATAAAACCATCCACAATGCTGACAAGCACCGACGCAAGTAGAAACAGCGAGCGATGGACAGACGCGTTGGTTAAGTCGCGCTCATTGCGATTGAAGACTTTTGCTCTACGTTTTCTACGTAGTTTTTACTACATTTATATTGAAATTATTAATTCTTGGAAACAGGAAAGATAAGTCGAGTGCTCGATAACGGTGAAAAGGGTCGGTGAACCTTCGCGTGATTCGATCACGTGGTCGAATAAATAATCGTTCCAGCGTGGTATCGAACTCGTTCATTATTTTGCCGAAGATTTTTATCTTCCGCTTTTTGCTGGATTTTTCTCCGCCTTTGGCTTTTCTTTCGTTACAGCCGACGGAGCGTGCTCGTCCGCTTTTAAAGAGAAGCGTCGATCGAAGTATCGTTCTTGGCGATATATACGAGAGAGGAAGATCGTTAAAGTGATCGTCTTCCGCCCGGGTTCGCTCACAAATTTATAGAAAACGTTCTCTTTCAGCAACTTTGTTCCGACGATGAAACTTTCGCGCTGAAAGCGAGTCCTCCGATGAATATCAAGAAAACGGGGCGATAAAAGTCACGGCCGGGGAGACTTTAATTGCCAGTAGCCACTTTGTGTCGCGAACAGTTTTACGGGGAGCGTTTTTATCTTAACGAAACGCGACGCT